TTACGGCCAAAACAGATTAAAATCACCACATTAACAAATTAATTCTCAGCCAACGCTAGAATAGGTATATGCTCTCTAAATTTTTTTGTATTAATGTTTCTATGATTTATTTTAAATAAAAGCAAATATGATGTTAGCCTTAAACCTATTTCAGTTTCCTGATAATGCATGCATATATATATTCAGTTATATGATAGATGCATAACATTATATTTAAGCATAACATATGCATTTTACGAGAAATTTTAGAGCATTTCACATTATGTTTATGTGCATATATATAAAAATAAAAGCTGGTTTACTTAAAAATATATCTTATTAGAAAAAAAATAAATGTTGTGATATGTATATTTATCAATAAGCATATGTGCTTAGTTTTATAATTCGGCAAAAAAAATTAAGATATGACGAATGATAATTGTGCAACATCATATTCAAAATTATAAAATTCTACAACAAATCATGTAGTTGTGTTTTCGTTATAACTCTTAATTTGAAAAATATTATAAAATACAGCATACCAAATCAACTGTGTTAGTCCAAGGAAAACACGGATTATGTTAGCCATCTACAAGCCAAATTAATACAACACTAAAAATATATTATTTGTTATATATATAGGGACAATTTGCTTAATAACCAACAAAAAAAATTATATTTAAAAAACTAACAAAAATGGTCTCGTGTGGCCAAATGGTATCCAATAGATTTAGAGTATTTGGCTAGAATTTTAGATATAATTTTTTTTAGTTAATGAGCAAATTATCCCATACTGATATAAAAATAATATAGTTGCCTTAACATGGCCACGAATCAATCGCCAAAACAAATGGCCACGAATCAATCGCCAAAACGACGAGAATGATTGACCTTTTTTTTATTATAGAACATGAGAAAAGTGACGAAAATGCAAATTGGACTGCAATTCCTATGCCATTTACAAATACAATTAACAACATATCACTATATGCATGAATTATAGGAATTCCATAGATGAACCACATAAAGCAACCCATAAGAGTTGCTAAATGATCTTCCACTGCCATGGGTGAAAGACCTTCCACTGATCGGTCCTTAAAGACTCGAACCATTGTTGGCCTTAAACAAAAGAAAATCATATGTTGTTAAAACCACGTGTGACATATCATATCCAATTGCTATATATTTTGTGTTTTTTCTTGCATATATTGTTTCTTTTATATCACTAAGCTTTCAACATA